CGAAACAAATATTTGATTGATTACGTTGTACGTCTAGCCTGTGATTACAGAATTACGGAATTTATTTTTTCTATTTATGTTGTACGAACAAAAAAATATTGCAATTACGTTGAACGAAAATAACCCTTGCCCCCCCCCCCTTCCACAGCAGCGCACACAGAGCCCATAGAAATACGTGGTACAGTGATGCGCGTCTTAGCAACGTAGAACGTCTGTGACGTAGCTCCGCCCCGAGGATTGACGCTTTAGCTGCTTCAAACAAGCATCTCAATCCTTTGACAAGTTCCCGTTTCAGGTGTCATAACGAAGCGAAGTCATCCCTTGTATTTGTAGTGTGAAACTACGCTGTTAGAGGGCGTGGTCTTGAAAAGGCGGTTCCACAGACAGGCTGTTTGAAAGTCGGCTACCATGAATAATGATTGGATTTCTTCAAAATTTACAATAAAGTTTTATTTTATGTAGTTTTTTACAAAGCCCAGATAAAATATATATTCACACAAATATTGTTTTCACAAACATAGGTCATATATGCAGAAACATTACAATGTTTGGGCAAACTGCTATATTTGCTTTTTATGGTGAAAGCTCTTGCCATATTTTGTTTGTAATTATATGATGTATAGCAAAGATGTTCTTGCATTATTTAAGGCATTTTTTATGCAAAACAAAACACATTTCGGATTAGGACCCCCCCCCAAAAAAAAGCTGTGTCCGAATCAATAATTATACACTTTTAAAACAAAAAAAAAGTTGATAAAATTATCAATATACTATTATGCCCTCTATAGTTGACGAGGTGTTTCTTTTGTTTATTTACGTCCAGACAGCAAAGGCATCAGTGTTCCATTGCTTCTATAGCTATCTTGCTACTAAATAAAAATTTTGCAAATACGATTGGATTATTGCCAGTGCTGTTTATTTGTCAAAAAATATACGGACAGCATCATGAAAAGAAAACACACACAATCTTTTAACATTTGAGGCGAAATTTGAAGCAGACTAATTACTGTATTACGTATGTATGTGAATGGTTTAAGTTTAACTGTATATATTATATTTGTCTTAACAGTGAAGTTAAGTTCTATTTAGCTGTAAATTGACAGTCGGGTAATTAGTTTTCTTTTATAAAAAAACCACGACAAGAATGAAATATACAAGACAGGGACATTTTGAAATTGGTAAGCTTATCGAACGTTATCAATATCTAAGAGGTGATACTGTAATAACAGATTGACAAATATTGGTCTAAAGGGATGATTGAAATTGTTTTCCCCTCAGGATTAAACTGAATTGGTCACCATACTTTATTTGATTTTTAAAATTGCTTTATCATTATTTTTGTTCCCCACTTCCATCAATTGAATTGTTTTTGTTGGGCAAGATATCACAGTGTGTTGTGCATCTCCCATTTGCTGGCAATATCAACTTGTAGATTATGACGTCCGGTACACCTCAATGGAGTGTGTAATGTAACGATTTGTAAAAACCAAAACATAGGAACCACCGTGACTAACATTGATCTGCGATGAAGAGAAGTGCATTGTGGGTTGACCACAGCTGTTCATATCGGAACGTGGTGTGTTGATGTTATGTGAGTTTACGTGACGCAAGTTTGTAATCCTCATTGTGTTCCCTTAGCAACACAATATACCTGTTCTCACTACATTCGTGCACAGGCTGAAATCTCTCACAGCCTTGACCAAATCAGGTTTCTACCGATTTAATATCACTTTTAAACAAAATCAATACTCTTTACTAGTTAGCGATTTCAGCAGCCGTTGTCCATTTCCATGGAAACATGTTATTTCGGGGCTGAAAACAAAGCATTGACAAATTATTTCTCATTGTATAAAAGTTGAATGGCCTCTGTAAACTCTGTGGTCATAGCTCCCTCGGTCGTTAATACAACGTGATTTTTTTTTCACAACAGGAGGTTACAATATCAGCATTATGGTTTCCGCTATTACATCATTAATGGCGTTTTACGATATTATATCAGCCAAAGGTCGTAGACATTATTTTTTGCCATCTTAATAATTATAATGAAAACATGAAAAGTCGGTCGACAAAATCAACTTCACATCTTTCACAAAATTAGCCTACGTTATGTTTTTTTAAAGATTTGTTATCAAGACTTGTTCATACATGTATATTTTGATTGTTACTTGATCCACAGTCCCTCTAGATTATCAAGAAAACTATTGAAAAAGTATATAAACATTTTGGCGGGAAAGGATTTAGTTGCTCCATGGTTGCAGCAAGCATTACACCAGAAAACAATAACAATATACTTCATTGAATGTCTGGTTTGACTGGTTTGATTATAATTTACTGTTAAACTTGAAATTAACGCAACTTCATACATTTGTGGGGGTATTTTAGTGAGAAACATTTGATTTCACAAAATTCAGTGTGAATCCCCGTATGACCACAATACCGCCAAACGGTTTTATTTGAGTGCATGTAAATTTCAGCATTCATTGTCAAAATTGGTATATTGCTAAAAATAATCATTAAAATGTCCAAAATGTTTTCACTTCTCCAAAATCGCTAAAAAGCATTGTTCAATTCATCCCTCGGAATCCGTCGCTAAATTATGGCCATACATTCTATTTGACAAATCTTGGGATTATGAAAAAATGCGACACTAAACAAAAAAGAGATTGTTAAATAAAAACTGCACACATATACATGTATTTAATAAAATTTTATTACAAATTTTGTGCAAAAAAAATCGGTTCCTGTTTTGGGGGTCACCGAAGACGCCCTCCTCGGTTCATGGCGGAAATTGCTCCGAGTGTGCTTGCAACCCGTTTTTCAAACTACAAAAACAACCCAATATTTTTATTATCACAATAGAAGGCAGTTAATTTCTATTACTAGACATTCTTAAAATGCAACTTGTAGTAATTATGTTACCCGCAAACATTAAATATACATAAAAAACTGATCTGACAAATCCGTTTCACGTATTTTGTGTCTGTTTCACGGTCTTTGACCATCGATTTCTCCAGAAATACATGCGCTATTAAATTTGTTAATGTGTTTCCTGAAAGTCCTAAGTCTGTACAAATCGAATAATACATTTTGCACCCGTCATTTAGTCACAAAATAACAGACGAACGTTTTTAATGTGGTCCCGAAACACAAACTAAGCAACAGAATGGACGTCCAACCATGTTGTTGTGACAGCAAATGAATAATGCCTTCTCCGACGTTCGCCATCGTAGGATAAAAAGCCCGTCGTTTAGCGGGAAATTTAGATTACTTCCTGGCTCTATACAGTGAACAACTAATCTAACACGATGTCTGACGCCGCAGCTCCCGCTCCACAGAAGAAGGCTACTAAGCCAAAGAAGGCAAAGGCACCGGCTGCCCATCCAAAAACCATGGACATGGTTGTTGCTGCTATCACCAACTTGAAAGATCGCAAAGGGTCGTCTCTTCACGCCATCAAGAAATACGTCGGTGCTAACTACAAAGTCGACCTCGACAAGATTACTCCTTTCATTCGTCGTGCTCTGAAGTCTGGTGTTGCCGACGGAAAATTGGTCCAAACCAAAGGTACTGGTGCGTCTGGCAGCTTCAAGCTAAAAGAAAAAGCTAAAGCTGAGAAGAAAGCTAAGAAGCCAAAGACACCAAAGAAACCCAAGGCAAAAAAACCAAAGGCCAAGAAACCAAAAGCAGCGACGAAAAAGCCAAAGGCAAAAAAACCTAAGGCCAAGACTCCAAAGAAGGCAAAGAAGTCGCCAGCAAAGAAACCAAAGGCAGCAAAGAAACCCGCCAAGAAAACTTCAGCGAAAAAGGCAAAGAAACCAGCAAAGAAGGCTGCTCCCAAGAAGAAGTAAGCGAATAATCGCAAACCAAACCAAACGGCCCTTTTCAGGGCCACCACATCCTCCAAAAAGAGAACTACCGTAAAGCCATTGTGTGTTTGAATGTTAATAATGTTGTGTTGGTTCCATGCCATTGTGTTGTTAAGACAATGTATGCTAATAGGGAGCCAGACAATGTATGCTAATAGGGAGCCAATCTAACAATAACTTCCAGTTGAGATTAAAGTTTAAACAAAGCGCGGATTACTGAAGTGATGGGGGTCCTTGCTAACATCACGGTTACTAAAAAAGAGTAACCGTGCTAACATTAACTGCTTGCTGTGACAAGTAACAAATGTGTGTTAATGGCGCCGCGACTGATAATAACCGCCCATTGTAATAAGAATTGAAACAATGACTGTTAGCGAGCCTCTTTGTAGCAATGTGACAGTCGCCAGTTAAGGAAAAAAAAAAAAAAAAAAACCTCAGTTGGTAGTTATATCGCTTGCTTTTAACGATTAAATATGCGAAGGAGAATCTGAAAACGTGCGCATATGGGTATTACACAGACCTCCGTATGTGACGTGTAATCACGCACCGGTTGTGTCGACTGTATACTAGTAGATTTGTCGGTATTGTTACTGTGACTATGCAAATTTACTATGTTCCCGCTTGTCCTATTCAAAACGCGACGGGGAGTTAAATTTGTAAAAAATATTTAAATGGCTGCCATAACGACATACTTTGTCCCCTGTTTTACCAAAATCAGCGCAGAATGTGGTATAGGATACACTACAGTGTCACTGATATTGTTATACAAAATTTCATTTTAAAACAATTTTTAAAATGCGTGTTTTATAACTATTTATATGACTAATTCTAATTAAAACAGGAAGTTGGACATAGTCTCTAATTAGCAAAATTACTTCGAAGGAAATGCCACAGTTTCACGTCCTTCTTGGTTCCCCGTTCCT